GCGAAGACAAACAGGGATCGGGTTCATAGCCACGCCTTGAATCCCAGTGCTCGGGAGACACAAGAAGGGAAATCTCTGTGAGTTCAAGGCCAGTCTGGTCTATACAGAAAGTTCCAGGCTAGCCAGAGCTATATAGTGAGACCCTATCAAAAAAAAGAAAGGAAGCCGGGCGTTGGTGGCACACACCTTTAGTCCCAGCGCTTGGGAGGCAGAGACAGGCGGATCTCTGTGAGTTCCAGGCCAGCCTGGTCTACAGAGCAAGTGCCAGGACAGCCTCCAAAACAATACAGAGAAACCCTGTCTCAAAAAACAAAAAATAAAAATAAAAAAAAAGAAAGGAAGTGATGAAGGGAGGAAGAAGGAAAGGAAGGAAGGAAGGAAGACAGACAAACAGACAAAGAAAGATAATAAACTTAAAAGTGGAACCCCAGAGAGTGGCAGCCTAATTGGGCTCACAGCTGGTTGGGCCTTCCTTCGCCCCAGTAGCCAGAGAGGGGAAAACCAAGCATGTGGTATGGTGCCGGGTGTGGGGTGACCCACTCGGGTGACCTACATAGAGCCTTGGGTTCCCCTCTGCCTCCTCCAGCCATGGCGTGGGGGTGGGGGGGCTGCTGTTACTCATCTTAGGGGCCCCACAATTGCCCAACGTTGACGGGTGGGAGCCTCAAGTGTGAACTCGGGGTGAGGACTTTCCGTGTCTAGAAAGGACTCCAGGGCATCAGTTTCCTCCGCACACTCCTCCTCAGGCACCAGCCTCCGCCCACTCCTTCCCAGTCTTCATTTCTTCAGTCCTCCCCCTAAACATGCCTGGGACTGACCTGACCCCCTAAAGAACCGCACACCTTTAATCCTGGCACTCCAGAGGCAGAGGCCGGTGGATCCCTGTGAATCTGAGGCCAGCCCGGTCTACACAGGGGAGCCAGAGCCACGTGTGAGACCTCATCTCAAAACAAAACTATCAAATAAATAAAAAGCCGGCGGGCTGGCAGCAGCGGGAAGCTAATGGGCCCAGCGCGCTTTGTTCTTCAATCTTGGGAGCTTTTCTCTCTGGGAAGGAATACTGTCTCCTTCCCCTGTGTTGATTCCTCTCACAGTGAGGCAGGAGCTAAGAGAAAGGGGGCGTGTGGAGGGGTCTCGTGGGGGCCAGGTGTCCCTGGCGATCAGGATGCTGCTGGAAATCCCGGGGCTCAACTGTCCCTGCTTCCCTCCACCTGGACCCTTGGCGTCAGAGCCAGGGGGCTGGGTACAACCGGTGCCCGCCGTTCAAAGCGAGGCCACCCACCCCTGCACCGCCACCGGAGTCAAAACACGTCTGCATTTCCACGAGGACTCTGGCTGGCGCAAGCCGGCATAGTTTGCATTCTTTATTTCCAAAATCCATGTCCTTACAATCCGTCCCTCCCCTCCCCCGATCACGGGGTCCCAGGCTCCCCGAGTCTCGGGACGTCACGATCGACACATTCGCATCGTCAGTCCATCCTCCCTGGGATGCAGACGGCTGTCACCCCACCATCACCGCCCCGAAGAAGGTCTTCCCTCTCCTGCAGTCCACCATGTCCGGGTGACTGATGTTGACATACACCCTCTCGCCGCTCCGCAGCTGCACCAGGCCGCCGAACCCCACGCTCGTGTACCACAAGGACCGGTACCCGACGGGGTCCACGACGGGGGTCACGGTCTCTGCGCCCTCTAGCAGCAGCTCGGGGGAGCCCCGCCCGTAGGCGCCCCCGGCGCGGTACAGGGCGCTGCGCAGTGTGAGCGAGCGAGCGCGGCCTCGGCTGGCAGGGGGCGCCCTGCCCCGGTACCCGACGTGGCAGTAGAGGTAATAGACGCCGTCCAGCGGCAGCGCCAGCCCGTCCGTGCGGGAGAACCGCGCTCCGCTCCTCAGAAACGCTTCTTCTTGGCTCGCCTCCCAGCCGAGCTCTTGCCCGCTCATCCAAGCGCCTGCAGAGAGGGACACGCGTGGGCCCTCGGGCCGTGATCTCTAGGATGGGGACCCTCTCCCTACCACTCCCCCCACGTAGGGTGAGCCGGACCCCGAGCGAGCAAAGGGGCGGGGTCTTTTTCACTCCGCGGTACTCGGAGGGGAGGGGTAGGGTAGGTGAAGGAGGCTAACCCCCCCAAGGGGATTGGCGCTCTCCGGGTCTACCAGATGTTTACCAATTAGGTGAGCAGCGGGAAGCTCGGGGCTGAGCTCCGTTTCTGGCTCCCCCTTCGGCCGCCGCTGAACCCCTGGATCTGGTGAAGAATTCACGGCTGGAGGCTGGGTGGCCACCCGCGCAGATGCCTCCTGAGAGGACTGTGCAACAGGCCCCTGGGATGGGGAGCCTAGATTCTTGGAAGAAGAGGGCATCTCGGGACTCAGACGGGGGTCAGGAGCCCCTGAGACGCTGGAGGGTGAGGGCAGGAGGCAAGATGGCTTGTGGTCATCCAGTCTCTTTTGAGCCTGTGCTCCCGAGCCAGTGATCTTCTCAACCTGGAGGGTAGGGGTCACCGCGCCCAGAGTTCAGATGCGGCTGATGGCAGCTCCACCCCTCCCAGCGGAGAGCCCGGCCTAGGCTACTCCAGCACCCCTGCCTAGCAAGCATCCTGCAAACACAGCAAATGCCTTTGGGCAGAAAGACAGGAGCCGGGTATCAGGAAGGGGCTTGCAACTTCAGGGTAGGACCGCGTGGAGAACAGGCAGACACAGAGCAGACGCGCCCTCTGGGGAAGCCCCCAGCTGAGCTAGGGAGGCAAAAGCACAGCCAGAGGTAGCCACTCACCCGACGTCCCTGATCCTGGGGCACCAAGGCCAGCACAGCCAGGACAGTGATGGGCACTGCCAACAGCAGGGTCACCAGGGAAGCAGCTCCAGCCACGGCCAGCAAGAGGCAGCCCCTCCCCTGGGGCCTCCCACCCTGGCCCTGCAGTCCCCGTGTCCCCATCCAGACTCAGCACCACGCCCGGGGGGCAGGGGCTTTCATACCTTAGGGGTAGGGCCACCCCCTCCCTGCAGACCCACACACCTGCCTGGGACTTTCCAACACCCCTGCTCCCCTCACACAGCTTCCTGTTTACCCAGAGCTGGGGCTAGGGCGGGGGAGCTGGATGCCTAGGTTCTCTGAACTGGGGAAGGAGATGGGGCAGAGAGAGGTTTTCAAGGAAAGGGTGAAGGGGGGCTTAGCAGAGAGGGGGAAATGAAGCCCAGGGAAGGAAGGAAGCTTGCAGAAGGCCAGGCAATGGAGACTGTGATGGGCAGACAGGATCCCAGGTGTTTCATGTGGTCAGCACGCTCTGGACCTCACAGGCCAGTGCTGGAGGGAGGGCTACACTCACACGCACACACGCACACACTCACACGCGCACGCACACACTCACACACACGCATGCACACACTCACACACACGCATGCACACGCACGCGCGCACACACACACACACACCAGAGGTTAAGGAGATCGAGTAGGAGGCTAAGAAAATGGGCAGCTGCGTGTCTGCATCCCTGAGACTCCCCTGCCCTCAAACTGGCCTCTTCTCTTCTGTTGGTGTCCCCTAAAACTAAGTAGCAAACGCAGAAATCAATCGATCCACTCCACAGCGATGTGGCTTCATGAAGGGACCTCAGCCTGGCCCTCTCTGAGGTAATGGCCCAATGATAGAACTGTGCGGGGGCGCGCACTCCACCTCAAGGGACACAGTCTAGAGCGAGCAGCCTCCTCTGTCAGGAAGCGTTGGCTAAAGTTCATTAAGCGAATGTCAGGGTGAGTGAATGAGCAGTTCGTTGAGTTTCATGAGCAGCAAGAACTGAATTACCGTGATCGGTGGCAGCTGATTGGAGCCTAAGGAGGACCAGGTGTGAGAAAATTGGACCAAGATCTCAGGTCATCTCCCACTTCCTGGTGGCCCCCGCAGTGTCCCAGCCCAGACTTCCTGTGGGGATGCTAACGCCAGCACAGACACTAATAGAATTTAACTGACAGACAAATAGCACTGAGCACCTGCTGGCCGCCTACCTGTGCATCTAATCTCCATGCAGGGGCTCAGAGAGATTAAGAGGCTGTGGCAGGAGGGGAACTCGTTGACAGAATGTCTGTCTACTGGGCTTCATTTTTTTTGACTAGTAAAACAGTACTAATTTCAGAGTTTTACATTTTACTGTATGTAAATTTTATCTTCCTGTGGCAAGGAGGAAAAATGAGGAAACAAAATACCGAACTTGAGCGGCTCAGAGTTAACATGCAGCAATGCTTGCAACTTGGTAAGATAGGAGAAGTAGCCTGGGGATTGGCCACTGGGTCAAGCGCTTGCCCAGCGTGCACAGAGCCCTGGGTTTGAGTCCCCCTCACTGAATAAAGCAAGTGTGGCACAGCAGGGCTACAGTCTCTGCAGGGTGACCCTGACTGAAGGTGTGAGGCCAGGCTGGGATGCAAGGGAAAGAGCCGGGCGTTGGTGGCACACGCCCTTAATCCCAGCACTCGGGACGCAGAGGCAGGTGGATCTCTGTGAGTTGGAGGCCAGCCTGGTCTACAGAGTGAGTTCTTGAACAACCAGGGCTACACAGAGAAACACTGCCTAGAAAAACCAAAGAACAACAACAACAAAAATTTTTTAATGAGATAGGTATGTGATTCAGCAAACAAAATGTTTGCAAATCTAGGTCAGTGGCTCTCAGCCTTCCTAGTGCTGCAACACTTTAGTACAGTTCCCCATGTTGTGGTGACCCGCAACCATCAAATTCTTTTGTTGCTACTTTATAGCTGTAATCTTGCTACAGTTATGAATCATAATGTAAGCATCTGATATTCAGGGCATCTGATATGTGACCTTCCAAAGAGGATCACACCCCTCAGGTTGAGAAGAGCCTAGATCTGGCTGATAAGATTAGCTGGTGGGGGCTGGAGAGACAGCTCAGTGGTTAAGAGCTCTTTCGGGGGACCTGGGTTCAGTCTCTAGGACCCAGGTTAGGGGACTCACAGCCACAGAACTCCAGCTCCAAAGGATCCAATGTTCTCTTCTAGCTTCTGATGACAGCAACACTCATGTTTGTACACAGACATGGGACATAATTAAATATAATTAAATAAATTAATTAAAATATAATTAAATTTAAAAAATAATAAAAAGAAATCTTTGAACATATATATTTATTTGCTGTTAAGGTTCTGTTTTTCTAGATGCTTGAACTTTGGAAGTGTGTGTGTGTTGTGTGTGTGTGGTGTGTATATGTATATGTGTGTTGTGTGTATGTGTAAGTGTGTGTGTATGGTGTACGTGTGTGTATGTATGTGTGTGTGGTGTATATATGTGTATGTAGGGTGTGTGTATGTGTGTGTGGTGTGTGTATATGTCTATGTATGTGTGTGTAGTATGTATGTGTGTATGTGTGTGTGGTGTGTGTATATGTCTGTGTATGTGTGTGTAGTATGTATGTGTGTATATGTCTATGTATATGTGTGTGGTATGTATGTGTGTATTCTTGCGTGTGAGTGCATACAGGACTTCGGGTGTCAGTCCTGGCCTCCCATCTTGTTTGAGACAGGGTCTGGTGTTGTGTGTTCTGCAAATCCCGGGCCGGGCACTCCCTATGTTCTTGCAGGGATTCCCCTTCTCCTCTCCTTGTCACACCAGCAACATGGAGTTTCAGAAGTGGCTGCTACACCCGTCTTTATGTGGTTTCTGGGAATAAACTCAGGTCTTCAAGCTTTTGTGGAAAGTGTTTTCACCAGTGGTCTTTCTCTTCACCCAGTTTTAGAAATTTTTAATAAAAAATAAGGTGTGATAATAAAGTGATAATAAAATATAAAAAAGAAGAAAATCATTTAAATTGTGCTCCACACCAAACTTTGGGGGTGTGGTAGAGGAAATAAGTACCATAAAATCCCTGGATCTGGTCGACAAAACATGCGTAGGGACCCAGGCACCAGGCTCGCTCACCCTCTGCCTCCGTTTTAGCTAGCAGCCTCCGCTCTGTCCAAAGACTTGGGGCGCAGCCCTTGAGCACCCCCATCCCTCTCAGTCACAGCTGAAGGGCCTTTACCGGGGTCACTACTGCCCTTAGTTCTCTGCTCAATGTCAGAACGCTCCATCCGGCACTAGAAGTGCTGGCTAGACCTGCGTTCATCGTGGAAGCTCCCGGGAGGAGGTGGACATTCATTCAGAGGGTGACTTGGAAGGCTGGACCTGAGGGGTCAACCACACTGGGGGTAGCTAGGCATCTAAAGGGAAGATGTAGCAACCATCTCCCATGGTTTTACTTCCTCTCCTAGATGCGGGGAGGTACAGAGGCAGGGGGAAGAAGTTAGAGCCGGGGGAAGGGCACAGATGCCCGGGGAGGGGATGCTTCTTTCCACTCAGGTGCCCCTGAACAGCTGACTGAGTAGCCTCTAAACCAGAGTCTGGGAAGCTACCAGTGCGTGTTGGTCCTGCACTGGAGGGAAGTGCACCGTGGATTTGGGGTTTCTGGAGCCCCAGGGAACCTTCTGAATTCAGATCCTATCCTTGGAGCCCCTGTGGTGTCTCCCCTTTCCAGATGTTAAAAGGATATATAGCTGAAAGTGGTGGCGCAACCTGTCCGCGCACTCTGTGGGCCGAGGCAGGAAGAGGCAGAGTTCCCGGCCAGCCCGGGCTACACAGAAAACCCCCGACAATAATAATTAGTTAATCAATCAACCAATCAATCATTTTCAGCACAGTTCCTTGGCTCCCCTCCCCCCATGCCTGTTCACGGCATTCCTCTTAAAACTAGGAGGCTCTTGGTTCCGAACTGTCATCCCTGCACCTGGTTCTTGGGTTATGTTTTAGGGGCCTCTTTCTGCCCTCAGGCAGGAACCAGATTCAATGGCAGGAAGTGCCCGAGGGAAGTTAAAGTCCCCAGATCATCCTTTGTAGCCTTTTCCTCCACACCAGCCAGATAAAGCTTTCCTTGGGTGGGCACCGTGTCTCTGTTTTCCCAGTGGTCCCATACCTAATCCAGACCCCACCTCCCTCACCCTCTCCGCAGCACCCAGGATCCTGCTCTTCTGGCCCCCAAGTCCTCTGAGCCCTCCACCCCATCAGCCTAGGGCAGAGGAAACCCAGGGGGCCTGGGAACAGTTAAGCACCCTCTCTATTACTCCTGCGCTTTTTGTTTGCTTTTGAGACAGGCTCTCACTCTGTAGCCCTGGCTGTCCTGGAACTCATTGTGTAGACCGGGCTGGCCTCGAACTCACAGAGATCCGCCTGCCCAGGCTCAGGGCTGGATTTTCCTTGTTAAAGTCTCAGGCCCCCGGCCGGGAAACATATGATGACAAACAATACAGCCTGTCAAAGGACAAGGATTGCAATGGGGCCCCTTGCCTCAGATGGGGAACTTGGGGGCCACGTGACTCGTCCAGGCCATTAAGCCCAGCAGAACAAGGGTTAGTTTAGTCTTGACCTTCAGGCCTGTTCTCAGTCCCTGGCTATGTTACAGGACGAACAAAGTAAGTAGGGGACCCCTCTGTTCTACAGGGGAAGGGCCCGGAGTGCCAGAGAGTGGGGAGGGGTGAAGAGTGGTGTTCGTGGTTAGGAGAGGCGGTCAGAGTGCCCCCAGAACTAACCAGTGCAGGTATGAGTGGGACTTCCAGAGGCCCAGCGACACCAGGGTGTGGGTGAGAAGTCAGGAGGTGACAGGTCTCAGATACCAAGAAAGGTAGCCGGAAGGCTGTGAATCTCTAGAGGAAGTGAGAAGTTGAAGTCTTGGTAGAGAAAGTGCCCTGGGCTGGGGAGCACTCCTGAGCAGACATGAAACCCTGGGTGACAGCCCCAGGGCTCAAACTGGGCATGGGAGGGCCTCCTGCCTGCCCAGTGCCCGAGAGGTGGGGTGGCAGGACAGGAGGTCAGGCTCATGTGCTCTCTGCATAGAGACTTCTGGGAGTTTGAAAACAGCCTGGACTATAGAAGAGACTACAAAAAAAAAAATCTAAAGCTGGGGGTGGTAACACACACCTTTAATCCCAGCACTCAGGAGGCAGAGGCAGGAGGATCTCTGTGAGTTCGAGGACAGTCTGTTTTACAGAGTGAGCTCCCCAGGACAGCCAAGGCTACACAGAGAAACCCTGTCTGGAAAAACAGAAATCTCCTAGAGTATATCTCCTGCATCTAAAACTGTTAGAGAGTGGTAGAGCCCTGCTTTAACCCCAGAACCACGTAAACATTCGCGGCGGTCAGCGCACACTTAATCAGCCTAGCGTTCGAGCGCTGGAGGCAGGAGGGTCAGAAGTCCAAGCGTGCTTGGCTGTGCAGCGAATCTGAGGCCTCCAGGGAGGCGTTGGGACTCTGTGGGCAGGAAAGAGTCAGGACTTTGGAAGAAGCACTGGAGGGTAGGGGGAGAGGGAGGAGAGGGTAGGGGAGAGGGAAGAGAGAGCTAGGGGTGGATATGATCGAGAGACTTTGCATATGTGTATGAAATTGTCAAAGAATAGAAAGTGGAGGGGAAAGAAAGAAAAAGACTGTGAAACTTACATTTAACCAGAGGATTGGGAAACCAGTGAAAGAAAGACTCTCTCGTGTGCCCTTTTCTGCCCTATAGAACTGCTGGTCTTTGGGAGCTTGGGGCTGGGAGGGCTCCTTCTCCTGCTTGTCACCATCCTGTCCGTCTGCCTGTGCCGGATCCATCAGAGAGGTGAGCCCTGCTGTCACCTCCGCAGCCATCCCCAGCCTGCCCGCGCACCCTGCCTTCTGTGGGGGCGGATGTCCCATCATCAGTCCTGTTAAGTAGGACGGATGAGAGGAGAATCCGAAAGGCCCAGCTGCCACTGGGGGCCCCAGAGCAGTCAGCGAGTGAGCAGTGTGCGAGCTGCTGTGCCAGCAACAGGCCTGTGCTGGAGATGGAGAGCCGGGGAGGGGCGCTGTTCTAGGCAGCAGAGCCAGTGCCAGCCGCTGGCCTCGGGTGGATGAGCCCGTCTAGGGTGCCATTCTGGGGTGTGGAGCTGGGGAGGGTCTTGCTGAGTGTCCCCCCCTTTTTTCTTTCAGTTAAGAGACTGGAAAGGAATAAGGTAAGTCAGGGTTGAAGGGGTGAAGGGAAGCCCAAGTAGGGAGTGGGGCTGGGAAAGAGAAAAGGGAAGAGGAAGTAGGAGCAAAGGAGAAAATGAGACACGCAGAAAGAGAAACGAGGCGACGGGAAGGGAGGAAGTGGTGTGTTTACAAGAGTATAAACAAGTCCAGAACAGGCCGGGCGGTGGTGACGCACGCCTTTAATCCCAGCACTTGGGAGGCAGAGGCAGGTGGATCTCTGTCAGTTCGAGGCCAGCCTGGTCTACAGAGCGAGTTCCAGGACAGCCTCCAAAACCATACAGAGAAACCCTGTCTCGAAAAACAAAAAACAAAAAAACAAAAAGCAAAAAAGCCAAGTCCAGAACAATGGCCAAGAAAGGAGGAGGTTAGAGAGAGAGAGATCCCAGGACAATCAGGGCCACATAGAGAGACCCTGTCTCGAAACAACAAAAGCTGAGAGAGAGAGAGAGGGAGAGGGAGAGAGAGAGAGAGAGAGAGAGAGAGAGAGAGAGAGAGAAGCGGGCGCGGGGGGGGGGGAGTGGCTAGCAGTGTGGTTTAGTTAGTAGTGTCTGTCTAGCATGTTCAGAATCATAGGTTTAATTCAAAGCACAGCCTAAAACCAGAGCAGTGGTACATGCCTGAACTCCCAGGTAGAGACAGGAGGCCATCCTCAACTACATACCCAGGTGAAGGCCAGCCTGAGCTACATGAGACCCTGTCTCCAAAAGGAGGGGGGGGGTTCTAAGACAAGTGCTTGCTGCAACCTGCTGTGGTGGCCTGTACCAGAATCCCAGCACTGTAGGGTGCAGACAGGCAGGTCCTAGGGGTTCTCTGGTCAGCCAGCCTAGTGGGAATAGCAAATTCCAGTTTTTAGGGAGAGACTCTGTCACTACTACTACTACTATTACTACTAATGTGTAGAAACAATTGGAAAGGCATCCAAGCATTCTTCTGGCCTACACAAGCACAGGCAGGCAGACAGACAGACAGACACACACACACACACACACACACACACACATACACACACACACACAAAAGACGGAAGGAGAGAGAAAAAGCAAGAGACTGAGAGTCAAAGAGAAACACCTAGGAACACGGGTGGACAAGCGGAGTTTCAGAAAAGAAAAACCAGGAGACGGAGGCAGCAGAGAGAGAGAAAGATGGGATCTGGAGCAGGGCTCAGGGAAGGATGTCAGGACGGCACCCTGGGCCTTCATCATAGTCCTCGGCCCCACCAGGCCCAGTACCTAGGGCAGGAGCTCCACTACGCGTCTCTGCAGAAGCTGCCAGTGTCCAGCAGTAATGGCACCGAGAGAGAGGAAGGAGAAGGCGGGAAGGAGGACCCCAGCAATGACTACGCCTGCATTGCCAGCAAGAGACCCACCTGAGCACCCCCAAGTGCCTCCCTTGACCTGGGTGGGTGGGCAAAGTCACCCTGTGTTCGCCTAGTAAAGACTGGTCCCCGCTTCCATGTCAGGCTTCTCTAAGTCTCCGGTCCACGGCTAACGCTCCCACCCACCTGGGGTCAGGTGTCACTGAGTGTGGAAAGCCAGGAAACAGCTTGCGGGTCCCTAAGGCACAGTTGACAGGGGGCCTAATCGGCTCTGATAGTCTGTCTCTCAGTTGCTGCAGTCACAGCCTCAGGGCCCAGGACAGGTGGGTGTGGTGGTGTCCCTGGAGAGCTAATGGGGGGTGGGTGGAGAGAAGCATAGAGGGGTGTCTGGATAGTAACAAAATACACAAGAGCCGTAAGTAGGAGTGAGGAGCTGATACCGATTTATTGTTGGTCTCTGAGGGTTAGAATCACTCCTCACAGGCTGTGGGAGGGGTGCCGAGGGTTCCCGTGTGACAGGAGCCTGGAGAGAAATGGGGGGGGGGTTGTGCTGCTCAGAGCTACAGCCCTGAAGCTGTCTTCTTGCGGTCTCTTCCTCCCATTTTCTGCCCCTTGCCCACCCCCCGCCCCCATCCCCCCACCCACCACCCCCGCCCCCGCTCAGCAACTCACGTTGGCCCTGATAATAGAGGGCGCTGCCTATGACCACCGAGAGAAAGCCGAGAGCATAGAATCCAGCCCGGAGGAGGAGGCTTGTGTGGGGCATCTGTTCTGAACTGGAGGCTTGCTGAGATTCTGCAACAGGACATGGAGAGGAAGGAGCTGGGGGGTCTCAGAGCTGGGGGCAGTCCTTAACTCCCAGGGACATCGAGTCTGGGGTGTCCCACCAACTCACCTTTCCCCACCACCAGCCGAGTCCCGTTCCCTGTCCCGATGCCCTGGCCTAGCACCTCCACGCTGCACACGTAGGTTCCGGTGTCACGGCTTTGGGCGTCCTGTATGAGCAGCTCTGCCTTGTGGTCCCTGATGAACTGGGGGATGGCAGCAAAAGAGGCCACACGGCCTCTGAACTCGGGGGTCACGTTGCTCACCTCCATCCCCGGGGTCACTTTGTCTTTGTACCATGTGACGGAGCCGATGGCCGCTGTCCCTCGGCTGGCATTGAAGGTGCAGGGCAGGAGAGCAGGGGTGCCCTCTTGGACACGTATCTCAAGGGGCTGAGACACCCAGAGAACACAGGACCCTGGGAAGAAATTAAACATCCAGGGAAGAGCTGCCCAGCTACTCCAAAGAAAAAGGCATTTGGAGGACACCCCAGCTTTCCTCATGGGCGTGTGTCGGGACAAGCACCCTGGGTTGTCTCGTTAAGCCCTTTCCTCTTCACTAACTTAATTTCTCTAGTTTTCAAATTCTTTCACACACCAACTGCAGCCCATTTACAGCCAGCCTTCTCTGGAAACCCATTTTGCCCAACTCGATCTGCACCGTATACTTGAAGCTCAGGAATGCATGTAGCTGCCTAGTTGAGTAACTCCGTGGTGACATCACTCTAGATATTATTATTGCGATGGGAGCTGTTTTTGCTTTATGCTTGCTGGGGTTTGTTTTGTCTTGATTTTGTTTTCTGTATCCCTGAACACCCGGCACACAAACATAGAGGCAAGCAAAACGCCAATTTTTTTTTTTTTTTTGGTTTTTCGAGACAAGGTTTCTCTGTGGCTTTGGAGGCTGTCCTGGATCTCGCTCTGTAGACCAGGCTGGCCTCGAACTCACAGAGATCCGCCTGCCTCTGCCTCCTGAGTGCTGGGATTAAAGGCGTACGCCACAAACACCTGGCATTTGTTTAACTTAAAAGTATTTTATGAGCATGCGTGTTTTGCCTACATACACATCGGTGTGCACATGCCTGCCTACTGCCTGTGGAGACCATAAGAGGGTGCCAGATACCCCAGAACTGGAGTTATAGGTGGTGTCTGGCCACCATTTGGGTCCTGGGAGTTGAACCTGGCCCTATGGAAGAGCAGGCAGAGCTTTTAACCGCCAAGTCATCTTTCTAGCCCCTACATATTAATTTTGAAACTAGACTGGGCTATTGGAGATCCTGTCACCAGAATAAACATTAAATTAAAAAATAACTGTGAAGCCGGGCATTGGTGGCACACGCCTTTAATCCCAGCACTCGGGAGGCAAAGGCAGGCGGATCTCTGTGAGTTCAAGACCAGCCTGGTCTACAGAGCGAGTTCCAGGACAGCCTCCAAAGCCACAGGGCAACCCTGTCTCAAAAAACCAAAACAAATGAACAAACCAAAAAACAAAACAAAAAAACAAATAACTAGCTGGGTGGTGGTGGCACACGCCTTTAATCCCAGCACTCGGGAGGCAGAGGCAGGCAGATCTCTGTGAGTTCGAGGCCAGCCTGGTCTATAGAGTGAGTTCCCGGACAGCCCCCAAAACAATACAGAGAAATCCTGTCTCGAAAAACCAAAAAACAACAACAACAACAACAACAAATAACTGTGAGGTGAGGATGATGACATAGGCCTTGTCACCCAGCACTCTGGAGCCGGAGCCAGGAGAACCTCCACAAGTTCAAAGGTCAGCTCAACTACACTACCTAGAGAGTTGCAGGTCATCCAGGGAAAGAGAGAGACCCTACTTCAAAACAGAAATAGCCCGATCAATCAGTGGGTAGAGCATTACCACCGGCAGGCTCGCTAGACATCTGCAGAGGAGCCTGAGACTTTGCCTGACAGTCCCAGTCCCAGCATTGATGATTTTGGATCTGCAATCTACAGTTTGAAAGGCACTGTTTGTACTCAACAAACATAACTTTTCATGTTCTCTTTGTTAATTAAAATCTGTTTCAGTAAAAAAAAATATCCTAGCCATAAGTCTCTAAAACTCCTAATTATACATGTGTGCCCTATCTAACTAATAACTTAGTAATCTAATCGACCTCAGACATCAAGTTGAGCAGCCCTCAGGGATGAAATTCAGAGTGGCTAGATGGCGTAGCTGATGACCGAGCCTGATGACCTGAGTTCAAGTCCCCGGAGCCATGCACGAGAAGGCTATTCTGTGACCTGTGTGAGCCTTGACAGGTGCGTGCTCGCCTCCAAAATAAGTTGATGTACTTTTAAGAATTAAAAACATCAAAGAAAGAAAGCCGGCTGAGTCTGTTAGAACGAGCCGTAATCTCAGCACTCAGGAGGAGGCTAAGGGCCAGGGCCAGGCTGGGCTACACAGTCAGGGCCAGGGGATTAACTCATTCGGTGGTCATGTGCCCCAAGGCCTGGCTTTGATCCCTGATGCACCACCCTAGCGCCTCGGACAAGTTCAAAGTCATCCTTCGCTATATATGCCGGAGATGGCCTAGGCTTCTGGGACCCTGTCTCAAAAACAAACAAGCAACAATAACACGGATAGCCAAAGTCAGAGTGTCATCCCCTCCTCTCCACCTGTTTTCCCCTGGGGCCTTTCAGGGCTATCTTTCTTGAGAGGAGGCTGAGAAGAAAAAGAAGTCTCTGGAATGGATGCTAGAAATGACCCTTCGGATGGAGGCGACCTCACAGGTCTGCCTCCCGAGTCCACAGACGGTAGCTTTCCGAAGTGCTCTCGGCATCCCTCCGAGGGGGCGACACAGTGCTCAGCCCCCTCCAGGCACCCTCTGGAGCATCCACATCCTCCCCCGCACCCACGCCCTGGGTCCCCGAGCGAACTCCGGGTCACCTGGATAAACCGTGATGCAGATAAACAGCAGCGCCTTGGCCATGTCTCCAGCCGTGGGTGAGGTGACGCTGACCTCGGCCTTGAGGTCTAAGCAGAGGAAGGGTGGACCTGAAGCCTAGGGCAAGCAGGGCTCACGTGTGACTCGCCAAGGACCTCCCCCCCACTGCTTGGGGCTTGGAGAATCAGACGCATGCCCTGTTGAGGAGGGAGATGGGGATGAGGGAGATGCCTGGGGCTCTCTGGAAGCAGCTGGTGGTCAGGTAGTTCACTAGGACAGGATGTCCTCACAGTCTGGTTTTACCAGAGGGGGTGGGTGAGACCAGGATGTGGTTCTCTCACCTCCTGAGGTTCAAGACCAGACCTTCTCCCAGAACAAAACTCCAGCCGAGAAGCTAGCCCTCCTTTCCCTCCGGCTTGTTCAACCGTGCCCAGGCCCACTGCCTCCCCAGGCTGGCTTTCCCTCTGGGCTGCCCGAGGAAGTCTATAAACAGTGGGATTAGGGGAGCCAGCTGATTGGTGGTGGTGGTGGACCTGAGGTTACCCAGGACTGCGTCTGGAAGCTTCATTTGTACAGGTTGGGCCTATGCCCAGCCGTGTTGGCAGGGGAGTGAGTGTTATTAACGGATATAGTTTGGCTCGTTCGTTTTCACGTTTCCTGGAAAGGGCCATTCCCTGTCGGTGCTTTATTGTGCCTGCTGCACAGACGTGGTGACCCCTGAGACACCCATTCATTTGTTATTTCATTGACGTTCGTAGGGAATCTGCAAAGGGCCCATCATCTGTTTTCAACAGGCACAATGGCAGACGTCTTGTTCCCTATAACTACAGGTCACCCCTGGTATGTACTTCACAGACCCACCCACAGGAGACGACACAGCGCCTGGAGGAGAGGCCTTAGTGCAGTGTGCAAGCATGGCCCAACCTCACCATCCACTCTCTAGCTCCTTTTAGTGTGTGTGTGTGTGCACAGGAGTGTGTGTGCACAGGAGTGTGTGTGCACAGGAGTGTGTGCAAGGAGCGTGTGTGCAAGGAGTGTGTGTGCACAGGAGTGTATGTGTGCACAGGAGTGTGTGCACGTGTGTGCGCACAGGAGTGTGTGCAAGGAGTGTGTGTGCACAGGAGTGTGTGTGCACAGGAGTGTGTGCGCACAGGAGTGTGTGTGCGCACAGGAGTGTGTGCGCACAGGAGTGTGTGTGCACAGGAGTGTGTGTGCGTGCACAGGAGTGTGTGCCCCAGCAAGTGTGTAGAAATCAGAAGACAAGCTGTGGGAGTGGATTCTTGCTTCCTTCCATGTGGGTCCTAAGGATAGAAGTCAGGTTGGTTGTCCGTCTTGGCAATAAGAGCCTTTACCTATAATCTCACTATCCTCATCTTCTGCATGTTTAGTTTTTTCAAAAAACAATTTTTAGGCCGGGCGTTGATGGCACATGCCTTTAATCCCAGCACTCAGGAGGCAGAGGCAGGTGGATCTCTGTGAGTTCGAGGCTGGGCTGGACCGACATCCTCCAAACAGTTTATGAGAAACTCTGTCTCATAAAAACCAAAAAAAAAAAAAAAAAAAAAGACTGACTTAGCCCAGCAGTGGTGGTACACGCCTTTAATTCTGGCACTCTGGAAGCAGAGGCAGGTGGACCTCTGAGTTTGAGGCCAGCATGGTATACAGAGTGAGTTCCAAGACAGCCAGAGCTACGGAGAAACCCTGTCTTGAAAAACCAAACGAAAAAGAATGGCTTGGAGCACTTCCAGTGCTCGCTGTCTCCCAAACTACTCTCTGCCACCTGATAACCACAGGTGCCACTCACTGGGAAGGACTCACTTGGCCATCTGGCCACCAGTGAGCCTTGGAGAAGCCTGCCCACTAAGGTGACTAAGCGAAGGGTGCCGTGGGTGGTTATGTGCTGCCCCCTGCTGGCGATGGAGCCTGGGACGAGACATTTAGGCTCTTCTCCACTGAACCTCAATTCCCAGCCCAGAGTCAGTGTGGAGAATACTGTCTTTCTTCTTCACCATAAGCCCCTGGTTTGGGAAGGGAGGGGAGGGACAATGGCCTTCTGGCTTTCTCTTGTTGGTTTGTTTGTTTGTTTGTTTTGGTTTTTTGAGACAGGGTTTCTCTGTGTCTTTGGAGGCTGTCCTGGAACTAGCTCTCGTAGACCAGGCTGGCCTCGAACTCACAGAGATCCGCCTGCCTCTGCCTCCCGAGTGCTGGGAGGCCTTCTGGCTTTCTTATCTTTTCTCTTAAGCTTCATCTTTATGTGTAAGGGCTTTGTCTGGATGTATGTCAGGCTACCACGAGTATGCCAGACGCCCAGAGAGACCAGAAGAGGGCACAGGACGCCCTGGCATTGGAGTTACTAGTCGCCACATGGGTTCTGGGAATCAAGTCTGGGGCCCCTGGAAAAGCAGCAGGCACTCCTAAGTGCTGAGCTGCCTGTCCAGCCCCCAAGCTATTTCTTCACAGTGAACACTCAGACTCCATGACTGGAGGAATAAGGGTTTACAGGTCATCCTGAACTGCACTCTGCAAGCATTGACTACTTGTGTGTGCAGAACCCACAGCTATAAACTCCCAGACACCCCCGTGCTAGCTACTCAGCGTGTATAGGTCTCTTCCTCCCTCATGGGCTGGGTTGACCCGGGAGACGGCTGGACCTAAACATAAACTTCACGTGGGCTCTGTGGAGTTTTGCGGTTCGTGTTTTATCACCCACAGCTGCAGCAAACAACAACACTCTGCTCTCCCCTTGTCTTTTTGCCGCCCAAGACTTCCGACCCTCCTGTCATAGCTGCGGGTTCTGGAGACATCCCTTGCATGTTTTCCTCATTGGTCCACGTCTTAGTCAGGGTGACGACTGCTGTGATGAGTCACCATGATGCGTTTCCGTTGAAACCCGGGCAGGAAGAGTTTATCTGGTTCACACTTCCACATCACTGTTCATCATTCACAGAAGTCAGGACAGGAACCCCCACAGGGCAGGAACCTGGAGGCAGGAGCTGATGCAGAGGCCATGGAGGGTGCTGCTCACTGGCTGCTCAGCCTGCTTTCTTATAGAACCCAGGACCAGCAGCCCAGGGATGGCCCCACCCACCATGGGCTGGGCTCCCCCATCAATCACTAATTAAGAAACTGCCCCCCCAAAAAAGCCGGGCGGTGGTGGCGCACACCTTTAATCCCAGCACTCGGGAGGCAGAGGCAGGCGGATCTCTGTGAGTTCAAGGTCGGGCTGGACCGACAGCCTCCAAAACAATACAGAGAAACCCTGTCTCGTAAAAACCAAAAAAAAAAAAAAAAAAAAAAAAAAAGAGAAAGAAAAGAAAGAAAGAAAAGAAAAATCCCTAGAGGCTTGCCTGCCTACAGACTGAGCTGCAGGTGTTTTCTAAGCTGAGATTCCCTTCTTTCAGACGAGTTTTACTTCTGTCAAGCTGACATAAAACTCTCCAGGGCAGTCCATCCAGAGTAAACCGTGGTGTGTGCATGTTCAGGAACAACTTTCACTACCTCTGAGACTTTCTAAGGACTTTGGCAGTTTTATTTATTTAAGGGCTCTGTTAGTTCTATTATTTACTTGTTTGTTTGTTGATTTATTTGAGACAGGGCCATACCTATGTAGTTCTTGGCTGGCCTAGAACTCTCTCTGTAGACCATGGTGGCCTTGAGCTCACAGAGATCCTCCTGCCTCTGCTATGATTAAAGATGTGAGCCACCACACCCAGCCTTCGATTTGATTTGTTTGCTTGATTGCTTTGTTTTTAGAGACAGGGTTTCTTTGGTAGCCTTGGCTGTCCTGGAATTCATTCTGTAGACCACACTAGCCTTGAACTCATAGGGATCACAGAGCTCTGCCTGCCTGTGCCTCTGCCTCCAGAGGCCTGAGATTAAAGGCCTGTGCCACCACAACACAACTTTCAATTGAAATCTTTTTGTTTTATGAGACAATTTCTCTGTGTAGCGCGGGCTGTCCTGGAACTAACTCTGTAGACGAGGCTGGCCTTGAAGAGATCCACCTGCCTCTTCCTCCTGAGTGCTGGGAATAAAGGTGTGCGCCACCATTGCCCAGCTCAATTTGAAATTTTTTTTTTTTTTTTTGGTTTTTCGAGACAGGGTTTCTCTGTATTGTTTTGGAGGCTGTCCTGGAACTCACTCTGTAGACCAGGCTGGTCTCGAACTCACAGAGATCCGCCTGTCTCTGCCTCCCAAGTGCTGGGATTAAAGGCGTGCGCCACCAACGCCCGGCAATTTGAAATTTTAATGAATAAACTTAGACACACTTGAAACATGAGTATGTAGATCAGGCTAGCCTCAAATTTCCAGCAACATCTTGAATTGAAAAAAGAGTTCTTGAGCTGGGCGGAGGTGGCACATGCCTTTAATCCCAGCACTCAGGAGGCAGAGGCAGGTGATTGTCTGTGAGTTGGAGTTCAGCCTGGTCTACAAGAGCTAGTTCCAGGACAGCCTCCAAAGCCACAGAGAGGCCCTGTCTCGAAAAACAAACAAACAAAAAGAAGAAGAAGAAAAAGAAAAGAAAAGAAAAAAGAGTTCTTGGGGTTAGAAACACAGCTCAGTCACTAAGTGCACCAGCTGCTCTCCCAAAGGACCTGCATGGTCCAGGGCAGCTCCCACGTCCTGTGACTCCTGACTCAGGCGGCTGACATCCTCAGCTGGGCTGCGGAACAGAAGTGGTACATGGACATATGTGCAGTCAAAGACTCCACACACACTTAAAACATGTACTATTCAAACCGAGCAACGGTCTGCACCGTGCGTCTTCATGAAAATTGACCTTCGGAGTCAGATGGGTCAGCACTGGTTTCCAGTCACAGGCGTAGGGGCCTGAGGCAGGAAGACCGTTGCTCAAGGCAGCTTCCGGGCCAGGTTGAGCTACACGAGTCCTGTCTCAAGATGAGAAAAGGAAAAGGCTGTCCAACTTTCTTATCACAGGTCACTTGAGATCTAGCCACTGGCTACAGAAACTTAAAAGAAATCTTGGTAGAGCAGGTGCCTGAGGATGAGTGCTGGCCTTAGGAGAGGTTTGGACCACTGTGGAAATGCAGCCATGGTGACAGACGCCTCAGTGTCCTCCATCCAGCTGCCAGGAGCTCCTCCATAGCCCCAAACAGCTGCAAGCCAGACACACCCTCTGATGTGGTCTGCACAGGTCAGTCTCCTGGGCAAGGGGCAGTTAGAGAGGGAGAATGAAGGGTAACAGAAGACTCTGAGTGCACACACACACACACACACACACACACACACACACAAAGGGTCCTCCCTACAGGTAGAGCGGGGGACTGGTGGGCGTGGCAGACAGGAGCTACTCTGTAGGATGCCTATCAGCTCCCTCGCAGAACTGGATAACTGCTGTGAACTGGATAACTGCTGTGGGAAGAACCTTGCCGTGCGGTGCAGTAACTGGGGAACTGTTGGATCCAACTCCTGCAGGTTGTCCTTTGCACTCCATCCAGGTCCTGTGGCATGCATGCAAGCACACATGGACACAGTGAATACTTAGAACCAAACTAAAAGAAACAGTGTATCTTTCCCTTTTTACCCAAGCATCTCTTGTATCCGTTTCTCAGGCCATCTCTCCTGACCGGGACATCCAGAGTTGCCCTCTAAGCACAGACCTGCTCTCTACGCCAAGAGGTCTGCTGCAGACCGGAGACTTTTCATTTGCTGGTTCACCAGGCCTACCAGTGCTGCATGGCATGGCTGGAGAATTGTCCCCACTAGACACTGAGAGTGCCTGGAGGGCAGGGCTGCATCGCTCTCTGCAGGGGGGAGGCAGGCAAGAGGCTGGCGTCTTCTGCTAGACTCTCCCCACCGCCCGCCCGGGGGGGGGGGGAGCAGCAGAGTGGATATTGCCCTCAGTGGAAGGGGCACAGCCTGGGGAGGGAGAGCAGGGGGGAAGGGGCCAGAGAGGTGGGATTCACAGCCCCGGGCTCCCCTGCTGACCCAGTGACTGAGGAAGGCTATTCCTGGGGAGGTCATTTGCATGAGGTCAGAGTCTTGCTCAGCCCACAGCAGAGCGAGCGGAGCGGGAAGTGGCTCGCTCGGTCTGCTGCCCCCCAGTCTCACTTTCTGTTCCCTCAAAGCCTCTCCGGTTCTCAAGCACCCGTGTAGATTCTACTACGGATTTCAAAGTAGCCGACACAGGACGGCAGTGGCGCTGCAGGCCCTGACGCCAACAAACCAAGGTCCCTTGGGAACAGGCTTCCCTGTGTCCACTGCCCCTCTGGGTCCCAGAGAAGCCAGGTCCTTCCCTTTCAATGCCCTGGCCTCAGCTCACCCCACTCCTGGACTGCAGACTTCAGCTTCCACAGTGGGGAAAGTCAGCCAGGCCCCCTCAGCTGCCTGTCTTAACCTGCCTCATGAAGTCAGAGGAAATCTCTGGGGAAAGCCACCATTCCTCACTTCTTTGGCTCTGGTATTTCTTTGAGACAGGTTTTTATTGTGGAGACCTGACTGGTCTCCAGCTCCCAGGGTCCTCCAGCCTCAACCTCTTCCAGGTGTTGGGGTTGCGGGCCTGAGCGCCATGCTGGCCCCCTCAGATCCTGGGTCCCTTCTACACCTCCAGGGTCTGACTGGTCCTTCTCTCACACAGTCTGCTTTCTTGGAGGAACTGTGTAGAGCTAGGAAAGGTTCAGTCCCAGCCATTTGCGAGGCTGAGGCAGGACGCCGCTTGAACTCAGGCATCTGGACAATATAATGAGACCCTGCCGGAAAAAAAAAAAGCGATGTATCGGAACGTTATTTGTTCGTCTCCCTTAAACCTTCTCTGCCTTCTTCATGGGGTACTGGTGTCAGCAGAAACGATGGGGAAGTGGTGCCTGGGAGTTAACGAGAGAGGGGATGAGCAGAAAGGGAAGTACGAGACAGGTCCCAGAGGAGACCGGTGGAGAGCCAGCAGACAGCGAGACCCAGAGAGACCACCAGGCTGGCCATCTGCCCCGGCATCTGCTCAGCTATGAGCCAAAGCAGGGATTTGCAGGGTAGGGTAGGTGGCCCGCAGCATCAGGAGCCAGGAGGAGTCAGGCCTGCCTGGGTTGGGGAGCCAGGAGGGCAGGGCTTGGGTAACCCTCGGTTGGGCTGGGCATGGGGAGCAGGAAAGGGGGTTAAGCCTCTGCGTCCCTCAGGGGGAAAAGCCTTTGGACTGCTCAAGGCCCAGCAGGAGGAGGGGCTGGATGAGATCAACAAGGTAAGAGAAATAATCAAGGGGGTAGAGTCTGGAGGCTCCCCAGGCAGAGAGGGGTGACCCTGGCTCTGACCTGCCCCCAACAGCAATTCCTGGATAATCCCAAGTACAGCAGTGATGAGGACCTGCCCTCCAAACTGGAAGCCTTCAAGAGTGAGAAGTGTGGATGGGGAGGGAAGCCGGGACTGGTGGGCGGGCGTTGGGGGACGCAGGGGTTCGCAGGATCACAGCGAGGCCAGCAGAAACAGTTGCTTTTGGTGGTGGAAGAGGAAGGCGGCCTTTGTGCCTTTCCTTCCCATTCGTGGTCCTTTTCTCTGCCCTACTCATCTTCCACCCCTTACAGGCTTCCTCTGCATCTGCAGCCTCGAGACCCACCACCCCCACTTCCTCTGCCTGCCCCTCCCCTCCTCCCACGTTCCTGAAACCCCGTAACCAGCAACTACACTCTGCTCTTATTTTCCCCCCTAGAGAAGTACATGGAGTTTGATCTGAATGGAAATGGAGATATCGGTGAGAAAAAGGGGGGCCCAGGGGGACTGTGCAGACCTACGCAAACAGGGGTCTCCTCTACTGGTGCTGCCCCCCCCCCGTGGACAGGCAAAGGTCCAGCCACAGCTGATAATACAAGGGCCGGGATGGGTGCGTGGGGGTACAGGGTGGCAGAGAGAGCGGACCCTCCTCTCCCACCTTCAGATATTATGTCCTTGAAGCGGATGCTGGAGAAACTCGGGGCTCCCAAGACCCACCTAGAGCTAAAGAAACTAATCAGAGAGGTGTCCAGTGGCTCTGAGGAGACGTTCAGCTACTCTGACTTTCTCAGAATGATGCTGGGCAAGGGATCGGCCATCTTGAGAATGTGAGTGTCCAGTTCTAACCTCCCTGGGATTCCCTGTCTTCTCCACCGCTGGCCCTAACCTTGTCCCCGGGAACCACCCTTCCGCCCGTCCACAGCTCTGGTCTCCCCCAGTCTTCCCTCCCCTCATTCCTCCTCCCCATCGGGACTCCTGCAGCAGCCTAAGATCTGCTCCCTTGAGAGACGCGCCCCCGATGCTTGTGTCTCTTGCAGGATTCTGATGTATGAGGAAAAAAACAAAGAACACCAGAAACCAACTGGTCCCCCAGCCAAGAAAGCTATTTCTGAGTTGCCCTAACGAGGTGGATGTACACATGGGGGGAGGGGGCATTCAGTGGCAGCAACCTGGGAAAGAGAAGTGGCTGTGAGTCAGAGTCAAACTAAATAAATAATGCTCCCCTACCTCGTCAAGGCAGCTTCCATTGTATCGGGGGACACCTGACCTGGGCCTGGGGAGGAAGGAAGCATCTTAGCCCCAATAATCCATCTGTCCAATATTGAATGGGTTTGCTGTAGCGGATAGCTCTTTGTGCCGAGGGGAGATTCCAGAATTCCAAGACAACTTTGACCTACAGAATAGAGAGGTGTGTGCCTGGTAGTGGTGGCGCACACCTTTAATCTCAGCGCTCGGGAGGCAGAGGCAGGTGGATCTCTGGGGCCAGCCTGGTCTACAGAGCGAGTTCCAAGAGAAACCCTGTCTCAACAAACAAACAAACCCAAATAATAAATAAACAAAACAAGAAGTTAACCTCCACCGAGTCTTCATCTCCACCTTTGTGACCTCAACAAATCACACAGTCTGTCAGGTTTTACTTTGAAGAATCAGAATGAATGAGAGCTAAGCTGTTTGTTTTTCGAGACAGGGTTTCTCTGTATTGTTCTGGAGGCTGGCCTGGAACTCGCTCTGTAGACCAGGCTGGCCTGGAACTCTCAGAGATCCGCCTGCCTCTGCCTCCCGAGTGCTGGGATTAAAGGAGTGTGCCACCACTGCCTGACTGACAGCTAACTACTGTGCCTGGCCACCAGAAGACCTCAGTACTGTTAGAAACTGTGCGAACAGACACACGCATCAAAGGGCCGGTGTCCCTGGGTGGAGTAATGGTCTCATGACACCACAGAGTTGAACGAGTCACTGGGACCCTTATGAGGAAAAACTACGAACGTCCAGTCCAGAGGTGGGGCTAAAGGTCAGTGGTGGAATGCTGGCCTAGCCCTAGGTTCATTTCCTGGTACTGCCAAAAACAAAGCCTGTCTGCTAAGGAAGGGAAGAGGGGATGTGTCAGGAGTGAGCAGTGGCAGACACAGTATTCAGCAGCTCCGAGTGGCAGGCAGTGTGGAACAGCCAAGCAAACCAGGAAAGTCAGGAACCCAAGGACTGAAAGCCGACCTTTCCTTTCCCAAGGGATCCAGGTAAGCAACTCTGGCCATCGGTTCAGGGCTGTCCGTTCTTTGTTCCTTCCTTCACCAATGCTGGCCTGAACCCAGGGCTTCCCACGTACTGAGAGAACACTCCATCACTGAAATATGTCCCCAGCTTGGGCTGTAGAAATGGCTTAGAGGTTAAGAGCACTGACTTCTCTTCCAGAGATTCTGAGTTCAATCCCCAGCAACCACATGGTGGCTCACAACCATCTATAGTGAGATTCAGCGCCCTCTTCTGGCAAGCAGGCATGCATGCAGGCAGAATACTGTATACACAAATATATACATCTTTTTTTTCAATTTTTATCTATTTTTTATTATTTGTTACTGCTAATTTTATTAAAGCATGATAAATAATTCTTAAAAAATAAATATATCCCCAGCTCATATTTCTTTACTCCCTGAGAAAGCATTTCACATCCAGCAGTCCCAACACACACGGCCTCCCAGTGGCAAAGCGAGGGAGATGTCCTTTCCAGTAGTTTCCATAGAGATCCAGAAACTGTAAAACTACAGGTGGGGGGGCTACAAAGAGGGCCAGCAGTAAGAGCACACACTGCCCTTGAAGAGGACCCCAGGGATGGAAACGGAGCTCAGAGGCTGAGCTCACACAGCCAGAAACAAAACCAAACCAGATTTTGGCTCCCCAAACTGTGGAGCTCAGTGACTCTAGTTCCAGAGGTTCTGGTGCCCTCTTCTGCTGTCTGTGGGCACTGCACCCACATACACATAATTAAAACTAAAGGAATAAGCCAGGCAAGTGGGGTGCATGCCTTTAATCTCAACCCTCAGGAGGCAGGGGGAGGGAGGTGTATCTTCTGTGGGCTTGAGGTTAATCTGGTCTATAGAGGGAGTTCCAGGCCAGTCAGGACGACAAAGTAGCTCAAACATAGATACACCACACACACACACTTTATTCGCTGCTGGGAACTGAACTAAAGGACACCAACTTTTAATTGTGTACATGTACGTGCACATGAGTGCCTAGGACGCCAAGGCAGAGTCCCCTGGGGCTGCAGGATGCTTCTGAGCCACCTGGTTGGTGCTTTGCAACATCAGTCACACTCAGTAGGGCGTCATCTCTCCAGCGCCCAAATCCTCTCCTCCTCCTCCTCTCTCTCTCTCTCTCTCCAAGGTTTCACTTTGTAATTTTTTTTAAAGATTTATTTATTGTGTACACAGTGTTCTGCTTGCATGCCTGCCTACATGACAGAAGAGGGCACCAGATCTCATTACAGATGGTTGTGAGCCATCATGTGGTTGCTGGGAATTGAACTCAGGACCTCTGAAAAAACAGACAGTGCTCTTAACCGCTGAGCCATCTCTCCAGCCCCTCACTTTGTAATTTATGAGGGCCCAAACTCACTATGTAGCATGGGCTGGCCTCAAACTCATGATCCTTCTACTTCAGCTCAGAATGACTGGGATCATGGTATCAACCAGCAGTGCCTTTGTTCTACCTAGGTAATTATTAGCAACAAGAAGCTCTTTAAATGCAGGTTTGGAGCCGGGCATTGGTGGCACATGCCTTTAATCCCAGCACTCGGAAGGCAGAGGCGGGCGGATCTCTGAGAGTTCCAGGCCAGCCTGGTCTACAGAGCGAGTTCCAGGACAGCCTCCAGAACAATGCAGAGAAACCCTGTCTCGAAAAACCAAAAAAACAAAACAAAACAAACAAAACAAAACAAAACAAAAAAAACAACGCAGGTTTGGGCTAGCTTTGTCTTACTCCTTGTTTGTTAGCAAGTGGCGCCCTCTAGTGTGAAGCTCTCGTGTAGGTAGGGATAGGAACCAGGATTCTTTAACTCTTCCCAACACCTGGAATTAACTGCAGCTTCCTGGCAGATGAGCCTGGGATCCTTCAGCCTTTGAGACCAGGCAGTGTTACAGCTGTTGGCAAGGAGGAGATCCAGGACCCGTCCTGAAAACTCTGGAACTCTTACAGTGACTGGGGCCTGCAATTTCTCCTTTCTGGTTATTTATTTATTTATTATTATTTTTTTTTTGAGGCAAGGCTTCTCTGTGTAGCCCTGGTTGTCCTGGAACTTGCTCTGTAGACCGGGTTGGCGTGGAACTCACTGAGATCCCCCTGACCCTGCCTCCCGAGTGCTGGGATTAAAGGCGTGCACTACACCACCTAGCCTTTTTAAAATTATCACTTTACACACGCCATGCTTTGCCTCCTTGTGAGTCTATACACCACCTGTGTGCCTGGCACCTGCGGGCCAGCAGAGGGCGTCAGATCCCCGAGACTGGCGTTAGACTGCGGTGACCACCATAGAGTGCTGGGAGTTGAACCCTGTCCTCCACAGGAATGTGACGGGTGTTCTTAACCTCGGAGCCATCTCTCCAGGGTTTTTGTTTGTTTTGAGGCAGCATCTTACTATGTAGACCAGGCTAGCCCGGAACTCACAAAGATTAGCCCGTTTCTGCTGGGAACCGTGGGGTGTGTCAGCAGCTCCTCTGACTCGCTATGGTTTTCTATTCTCCGGCCTCACCTCTCCATCCTTCATACTACTCTTCTCCCCCAACCCTTGCTCCTGCCCACACGCTCGCTCTCTCAAACTGAGGCGGCCTCCTCTTCTTGCCTTTGCCCAGCCCTCACTGCTGGAAGCAGGCGCGAGACCACCAGAGAGGAGTCTGACTGGGCCCTGTGTTCTAACACCAAGGGAGGCGGCACGGAAGCCCTGCCCAGGCAGGCGACTTCCCGGTGAGCCAGCGTCTTTGCTTACTTCCCCTGGGAAGGGGTAGCACCAACCACAGCCAAGCTCTCATGGAAACCACTTACGCCACAAGCTGCACAAACTCCCAGCAGTCACAGTAACACCCCTTCCAGGCCGCCAAATGTACACTGCTCTCTCTGGCCTCCATGAAGACGGCAGAGAATCACCTAGTATTCATGGATGCCTGCAAGAGCAGAGTGTTCCGTACAAACTATTGGAAACGGCTCTGACGGGGGCTGTTCCTTCAGGGGCTGGAGCAACCAGCTGCATCGCGGGGTCTGGCAAGCTTGACTGACAGGCCTTCCTCTCAAGGAAGCCAGGGGAGGCAGGAAGGGAGAACCCAATAGGTGCCAACTGGGGAGGCATACTGCCCCGGGCTCCAGTGTCCTTGCTTGGGTACAGGGAAGTGGTCAGAAGGGTGCTAGTACCTAGTAACAATTTAAACAGTGCTTAGCTTAGCACCCAGTGCTCCAAGTAGGGTGCTTCAAGATTACAAGCACATGCTAATTCTTTTTTTTCTATTTTCCAGACAGGGTTTCTCTGTGTAGCTTTGGAGCCTGTCCTGGAACTCACTCTGTAGACCAGGCTGGGCTCGAACTCACAGAGATCTGCCTGCCTCTGCCTCCCGAGTGCTGGGGTTACAGGCGTGCACCACCAACACCTGGTGGTAATTCTTAACTGCGTCCTGCTAACTTTTGATCTTCATAGTCTGTTCTGGGCAAGTGATTCCTTCATTTACCTACATTAGCCGGGCACAGGCCTGCAAACCTCTGCTTCTACTCACTTCCTTCCATACCTGAACTGTATGTGTCCTCTCAAGACTAAGATTTGCACCACGTTTCAGTGTATGTGTGTGTGAGAGAGGAGAGGAGGGAGAGAGGGAGAGAGGGAGGGAGGGAGGGGGCAGGTGCATACGGAGGCCAGAGGACAACCGCGGCTGTCATGCCTCAGATGATGCCACCTGGCTAGGCTGGCAGGCAGCGCGTCCTAGGCGAGCCACCTGTCCCTGCCTCCGCAGCACTAGGATCACAAGCGGGTGCCTCTGCTCTCTCCTCGTGTTTCCTGAGGGTACCCTTCACCCTGCATTCACCAGCACAGTCAGATGGCCCCTTCTTTACCTCGGCAATATCCCACACGTCTCCGGTGTTGCCGGCCGCTGGAGAGACGGCTCGGCAGACAACAGCACTTGCTGTGCATTCAGAGAGCCCGGATTGGATTCCTAGCACCTACATCTGGGAGCTCACAACCACCTGTAAC